TACCCTGTCATCTTTACTTGGTAGTAGTGGCGGGGGTTCCCCGGGCAGCCAGAAGGCAAGCCCGCATGTGCAAACACCTTTCCTCTGTTTGCGTCCCTTTTGCTGACATCTCTGCCAAAGCCATTCATGTGCCAGCTCAGAGTCCAGGCGGGAGAGCTCTACCAAAACGCATGGAGAGAGGAGGGGAATCATTTGGATCCATTCTTTGCAGTCCACCACAGCCAATATTTTTAAATTGAGATTTCTCGGTCCTATTGAAAAACAACCTTTGCCTACTCTGGATCCCTGTCCTCAAATCACAGTAACAGGCAAGCTTTTTCCAGCATGCCACTGTCCTTCCCATCCCCCACCCCACGGAATGCACGTCCTTTACCCAGCTCCTTCCATCTGCTCAGCCCCACGCATGTTTGTGTTTGTGGCCTCTACACATATAAGCATGATGATGCTTAGCATAATCTCCTAGAAGTGGAATTGCCAGGCTTAAGTATTAATAACATACTTTGAAAAACTTTTGACTTTTTAATACTTTGTAAAAGCTTTAAAAAATATTTTAGGGCCAGGTGTGGTAGGTCACCCATATAATCCCAGCACTTTGGGAGGATGAGGCAGGTGGATCACTTGAGCTCTGCCTGGGAAACATTGTGAAATCCCATCTCTACTAAAAATACAAAAATTAACCAGGTTGGATGGCCAGCACCTGTAATTTCAGCTACTCAGGAGGCCGAGGCCAGAGAGTTGCTTGAACCCAGGAAGTGGAAGTTGCAGTGAGCCGAGATCATGCCACTGCACTCCAGTCTGGGCAACAGAACAAAACTGTGTCTTAAAACAATTTTTTTATAACTACTTTTGCTCTAGCAAAACATAAGGTTTGTGGTTTAAATGCCAGTTAGTTCCATTAGGCTTTGGTGGCCTGCTGTTGAAAGCTGCTGTTAGATACACACACAGACACACACACACACACACTCTCTCTCTCTCTCTCTCTCTTTCTCTCTCTCTCTCTCTCTCTCTCTCTCTCTCTCTCACAGCCCTGAGGCAATAGGATGAGTCTGTCTTCATCCCTTTCTCTGGGGAGCTCTCCAGGTGTGGTATCTTTGGACAGAGCCTCCCCTCTTTCAGTTATTCAGCAAACACTCAAGCAGAGGCTAGTACACACCAGTCACTGCTAAGCGGGGAAGAGAATAGATTACCAATAATCTCCAGGAACTCACTGTTTGACTAATGAGACAGATGTAAAGTTCCAATTACAACACGATGCCATCAAGCCTGTGCCTGAGTATCTAGTCTATGGGAATGCAGAAGAGAAACGATTCATTTGCCTGGCTTCTTAGGAAGCGAGAGGTATGGGAAATAGTAAGCCTCTATCACTTGGCCAAGTTACTCCACCTTTGGGTGCCAGTTTCCCCACATGTGACATACAGACAATAACAGTACCCACCCATGCTCACAGTGAGGATTCCATGAGATGAAAGATGTAACATGCTTAGAACAGTGCCTGGTAGAGGAGGTGTTTTGTTGAACCATTGAGTTGAATTCTTTTGGCTACTAGGGTTTTTCTAATCTTCACTCATCCAGAGCTCTGAGAGTGTGAGGGTAGAATCACCTCCTGCAGATGTTTGTGTTGTAGAAACAGAGACTGCATAGTCCCTTAGTATCTTTATCAGGACTTTAAAGATAAGGGGCTATGAATGGTGGCACACTTCAGAGCATACTCAGAGTTGGGGTGGATTCTGATCTAACAGTTGGCTATCATGAAAGGAATACCTACAGTCATTGAGCAAATTCTTTCTGATTACAAAACACTATGCAAGTTACCAGAGATTCAAAGATGAATAAGACAGAGTCTCTGCCCTGCAGGATCTCAGCCTATGGGGGAGGCAGCTGTAACCCCCAGCAACTATGGCCAGCACAGATGGAGCAATTAAATTGGCCACAGAGGAGGTAATACTTCAACTGAGCTTTCGTAAGTCCTGCCCAAGCTAGCACGTTGGTCTCTTTGGGAGGCATTAATGTATATGGGCAGCAGAATTCCATTTAATTTATTTTACATCCAGTAAAATGGTACTCCTTGCCATGGGTATGCAAGATAAATATGCCTCCAAAATCCAATCTCAGAGCAATTTAGAAACTAAGAGACTCTTGTTGACAAACTAAGTGGTGAATATCTTATGCATCAAGATGACTAGTGATGTTGAGAAACGTGGTTTATTAATCCACAGTGGAATCAAGATCAGGCTTCAAGTTTTAAGTATTAGACATATTTTGGGGTTCTTTTCTATGACATCTATTCCTTTTCCTCTAAAACTCCCACAGATTAAAATTAGATGTTGCTGGCATACAGGGAATGTTTTAAATGTAATAACTGCCTGTTTACTTCTTGGAACTATAAACAGAGCTTAGAAGAACAAGGACGTCTATCTTGTTGGCATTTACGGTTCTTACAGGAAAATTAAAGTCTCATAAAGACACAGTTCAGTGAGCCAATTAAGCCTTGTCTATTAAACTTATGCAAAATATATGGCAGTAATTCTGATAGCTATTTTTAATTCAAAGCATAGACTATGAAATCCAGGTTTGAGCACTTAAAAATAAAAAACAAACCCAACATCTTGGCACTACTTGTATGTTTCCATTTCATTTTCATATTCTATCTCCAAGCAGGCCAGTTTTTGATGCCAAATTACGTTCTTAATGGAGAATATTTGGAAATATAAAATGGGTTGGATGTGATCAAATAGTTACTAGTCTTTCTTTTGGTGACATATAACCTCCTACTTGTCAGCTTCTAGAAGATGAATCAATTTTGTGAGGACTTGGCCAGTATCAAGGTCTTCAGCATGACTCATCAGCTCATTGCTAATCCAAGGACAGCAAATGCCTGCAAACGCTGTAAGTAAGCCCAGTTATAGACTGCTGATGAATTTGGTGCTCCTGGTATGTGCCCTGGACAAGAATAAAGGTATCTGTCTAGGGAATATTTCTTTGAATATAAATAGTACGTAGTGGTTTATCTTGGTCCATTTAGTGTTGCTACACAGGAGTACCTGAGGCTGGGTAATTTATAAAGACAAAGGGTTTATTTGGCTCACGATTCTGCTGACTAAAAGATTGGGCATCTGGTGAAAGCCTTGGGCTTCTTCTACTCATAATGGAAAGCAAAGGGGAGCTGCCCTGTACAGAGATCACATGGCAAGAGGGGAAGGAAGAGGCTGTAGACATGTGATGGATGACAGTCACCATCTTCCAGGAACTTCTACCTCTACTCCATCTCTTTACAACCAGAGCCCCTAGACAGGGAAGGACTGAGTCTTTTGTGGCTAGCACATTGGAGATAGTTGATTTCATGGGGAAATTATATAGAGTGACATTTACTTTTTGTGCTGGGAAATTACTTCCAACAATATATTTTTGTCCAGCCATCTGCTTGAATCAAGTTTCTGTCAGCCTCTGGAAGTAATAATTATTCCCTGCTCTGAAACTGAGCTTCATGCTGGCTTTCTGCTGAGGGAGCAGACCCTTTGGCTGTCTCTTATCTATTGTCAAGAGTTCTTTTGTCACTCACTATAGTCAGCTGCTGATTTTCCAACAGACACTTTAAGGCTATAAATAAACCCTCTCAACACGAGTCCCCTCCTCATTAAAGTATGAAAGACAAAATCCACCGGTAAATTAGGTTATGATTTTTACTCAGGCTGTTGCAGTAGGAGGACGTTCATTAATAAGAAATACCTTAAAGAAAAGGAACGAGCCTGGGTTTTATCGAGACAGAGTCTTACGGGAGCATGAAGGACGGAGGTGGGTCTTACTTCAGAATATGTAAAGGCTGCATGGCCCTTGGCAATTAGCCAGTTCCTACAACTCAAAAGGGCAGATGATTTCTTAACATTGTTACTTTTTTTTTTTTTTTTTTTTTTTTGAGTCTTGCTCTGCTGCCAGGCTGGAGTGCAGTAGCACGATGTTGGCTCACTGCAACCTCTGTCTCCTGGGTTCTAGCAATTCTTCTGCCTCAGCCTCCTGCGTAGCTGGGACTACAGGCATGTGCCATCATGCCTGGCTAATTTTTGTATTAGTAGAAATGGAGTTTCACCATATTGGCCAGCCTGATCTTGAACTCCTGACCTCGTGATCCACCCACGTTGGCCTCCCGAAATGCTGGGATTACAGGCAACATCTAAACTTTTTAAGAGTATAAGACTTAGGTTAAGTTCAACATTGTCAGTCCTCCCTTTTGTTGAAAATGAACATCATTGCCATTGAGACTGAGAAGCAGCCTCAGAAGGGAAGTCTTTGTCTGACTTTCTTCTGTCCCCCTGTCTCTTACCCCTCATTCTCCCCTGAGATAAGCCATAGAAACTGTAATCCCTCTTCCCCAAGATGGGTCCTAGAAACTAGAACTCCTTTTTCCCAAAGCCAGCCATAAAACCAAAAAATATTATTCTAACCTTCCACCATCCTTCTGTATAAGAGTTGGCCATAAAGAAACTAAGACCTTCATCCCAGAGGGCTCCCACCCCATACCTGGGAGGAAGGAATGCTGCACAGAGAGGCCCAGAAGAATCTGAACAGCCAGGCCTTGCGAGGTTTTTCCACGCAGTCTGTTTCCATTAGGTCATACCCTTTTTTTGTCCAATCACATTTCCCTGCTTCGCCAAACCTAAGCATAAAATCAGATAGCTTCTCCTGTATCTCTGGGTCTTCATTCTGAAGGCTCCCCTGTCATGTAAAAGTATGATCAAATAGGCTGTTCATTGTTTGAAGCAATAAAGTGCAAATGAAAGCTGTCTTGACATCCACAATTGGGCATATGCTTCCATAAATGCCTGATTATGTGTGCAAATGAGTATTTTACATACCCGATTACCTGTTTGCTGTATTTATATTTTTACAGTCAATGTAAGTGCTTTCATTTTTAAAATGAAATTGTTTTAAGTTGTTAAAAGAAAAACTATGATCAAATACAGTCGTTATTTTTTTTTTTCTGGTTAACCCGTCTTTTGTTATAGGGTGTTGGCCACGATCCTTATGATGGGGAGGAGAGGAATCATTAGTTTTCTGCTCTGTCCCACTGAACAACTTAGAGATGACCTAAGGCCTCATTACCTGTGTGGAATAACTGGGAACTGGAAGGTGAGATCCAATCATATCCAAGTCTTGGTGTCAAACTGTGAAAGGCAAAATGTACTGCATCATTAAGGATATGACTTTATTCATGCTGTGGCAATAGGGAGAACATTTATTAATGAAGAATAACTCAAAGAAAAGGAAAGAGTCCTACATGGGAGCCACTGGGAAGGATGAAGGTGGATCTTATCACAGAATATTCCAGGGCTGGTTTGTCCTTTGTGGGGATGGCTGTTTCTTTTGAAACACAAAAGGGTGGGAGATTTCTCTCTCTTTTTTTATTTAAGAGACAGAGTCTTGCTCTGTCTCCTCATCTGGAGTGCAATGGTGTAATCACAGCTCACTGAAACCTCAGCCTCCTGGGCTCAAGTGATCTACCTCAGCCTCCCAAGTAGCTGAGACTACAGAACTACAGGTGTGCACTACCACAACCAGCTAATTTTTTTTTCTTTTTGTAGAGACGGGGTCTCCTTGAGTTGCCCGGGCTGATCTTGAGCTCCTTGGCTCAAGCCATCCTACTGCCTTGGCCTCCCATAGTACTGGGATTACAGACATGAGCCAGTAGGGGATTTCCCAACCATCCCTCCTTTTAGGGAGCAAAAGCCTTAGAGAAAGTTTAACAGTGTCAAAATTCTTCAGCTTTTAAGAGGCCAAAGCAACGTTGAAAAAAAAAAAAGGTTTTTATAAGGTTTAGGTCTGAGATAATATCAAAATTCTAACGTCTTAACTGTTTGCTTGCTCTGTAAAGGACATTTAAGCTAAGTCCTTATTTAATTTGAGTAAAGAAAAACAAATGGCCTGTCTGACCAAAGCTAAACAGCAGGAAAGGAAACATAGCTCCTTCCTCTTACTTTCCTACAGAACCATGGACCAATTTTCAGTCTGGGCCAATCATGGAACCTTTTTCTGTAGCTTACAGAAATTCATTCAACATGCGTTTTTTGAGCACCTGACACATGCCAGGCATGGATATATGTGGTGGGATATAGCAGTCAATGTGACAGTCCATAATTTCTCCCCTTGAGCCCCTTGCTATGGAGAAAGAGAATGCAGCAAAGGGCAGGGAGAGCCAGGGGAAGGAGCAGTACCGTTTCCAAAAGGTTGGCCAGAGAAGACCCCCACAAGAAGGTGACAGGAGTGAAAACCTGAGGGAAAGAGCCATGCTGAGGCCTGAAAGAGCGTTTGGGGCAGAGGATCCAGTAAAATGGGAATGCCCTGACATGGGAGCTGTTAACATAATTAATCAGGAGGCCATTTAGCTGAGCCATCATCAGCACCTTGGGTTCCTACCAAAGCAAATGGAACACCAACTCAATGTCAACAGTCAAATGAAACAAATGTAACCAATCAGAAACTGCCAGCTAACTTATAACTAGAGACTTCACCAATCAGAAACTGCCAACTCACCTCTCACTAGGGATTTTCTGCTTTAACCAGTCAAAAATTTTTTGTCTGGCTTCCGTGAACCTTGTAAAAGGCCCCTCCTCTCCTTCCCTTGGAGTGCCGCTGCGGTCTGGTGCTGCCCGATTCATGAATCATTCAAAGCTCAAATAAGCTCATGAAATTTTAATATACATAAATTTATCTTTTAGCAGAACTTGCCAGGCATTTTCAGGGAATGGCAAGGAGCTCAGAGCGTCTAGAGTACAGTTGTAAAGAGGGGAAGAGTCGTGGCTGAGGCCTGAGAGCTGAGGGTGCAGAGGCCCTAGCCGTACAGACAACTGTGATGACTTTGAATGTTACTCAGGTTGAGGCAGGAAGCTACTGACATGATGGCTTTGAGCAGAGATGGGAAAGCACATATTTTCAAAGGGTCAACCCTAGCTTGTGTGGTAAGAGGATTGAAGCAGGCAGATCAGTGAGGAGCTGTTGCACTGCTCTTGAGAAGATGGGGGCTCTGATCAAGATGGCCATGGTGAAGTGTGGTAGATGCTGCTTAGGTCTCCTTTGAGAATTAAATATTTATTCCTCCAGCAGCTGGGAAGCCCCAGCTGATGACCTTTGGCTGTCACCTCTTCCAGAATTGCCTCTGCTAAAGACAGCTGTCTTTCCCAGTGGCACTTCCCCTTCCTGGAGGCTTGTCAGTGACGGCTACAGGGGCTTGGCCCTGTACCTCGACTCAGAACAACTCCTAAGGGCCATCCCAGTTCAGAGCTCCTCAAGGAGTCCACTCAGGCCTTCTTCCTTGTGACTGCCTCACAGCCCAAATTCTCCTTTTCCACAGGCATTGATCCCAAGAGTACCCCCTAATAAACTCCCTGCCCACTCAGCTCCATCTCAGACCCAGCTTCCAGGGAAACATGGCTTGTGCACTGAGGTGGTGAGCAGTGGTCAGGTTCTGAATATAGTTTCTTTTCTTTCTTTTTTTGAAGACAGGGTGATATGGTTTGGTGGTATCACCACCCAAATCTCACGTTAAACTGTAATAATCTCCACGTGTCAAGGGCAGGGCCAGGTGGAGATCCTTGAATCCTGGGGGTGGTTTCCCCATGCTGTTCTCGTGGTAGTGAGTAAGTCCATTGAGATCTGATGGTTGTATACATGGGAGTTCCCCTGCACAAGCTTGCTTGCCTGCCACCATGTAAGAGAGCCTTTGTTTCTCCTGTGCCTTCCACCATGCCTTTGTGAGGCCTCCCCAGCTGTGTGGAACTGTGAGTTCATTAAACCTCTTCCCTTTGTAAATTACCCGGTCTCAGGTAGGTCCTTATTAGCAGCATAAGAAGAGGCTACTAGACAGGGTCTCACTCTGCTGCCCAGGCTGAGTGCAGTGTTGCAGTCATGGCCCACTGCCTCCTCAACCTCCTGGGCTCAAACGATCCTCCTGCCTCAGCTGCCCAAATAGCTGGAAATATAGGCATGCACAAGCATGCCCACCTAATTTTTGCCCAGGCTGGTCTTGAGTTCCTGGGCTCAAACAGTCCTCTTGCCTTGGCCTCCCAAAGTGCTGAAATGATAGGCCTGAGCCACCATGCCTGGCCCTGAATATATTTTCAAGGCAGAACCAAATGATTTGGATGTGACGTTACAAGGGAATTTGATTATGAAACACTAAGGCTTTTGTCCTGAGCGATTGAAGGATGGAATCACTATTAACAGACACAGAAAGGACCATGGAAAAGGCAGGTTTATTGGGTTTGTTGGGGGGAGGGGCAGTCCATCGGAATGGAGAAAGAAAGTAGAGAATATATTAAAAATAAAAACAAACCTTTAATATTCATGCAGGTAAAAGGTCAGATTCCATTTCTGGGAGCCCATGCTTACCTTTGACTTTGAACACCTCCAACATTACACAGTTGTAATATATAATCTGTTGTATTGGGTACAGTCATGGGTCACTTAACAGCAGGGATACCAAGAATACATTCCAAGAAATATATCAGGTGATCATTGTGCAAACATCACAGAGTGTACTTCTACAAACTTACATGGTGTAGCCTATGGCTTTAACCTGGGCAGCATGTTACTGGGCTGAATACTGTAGGCAATGGTAACACAATGGTAAGTATTTGTGTATCCAGACATATTCAAACCTAGAAAAGGCAATGTGCTGTGCCACTATGTTACAATGGCTACGACATCACTAGTAGATAAGAATTTTTCAGCTCCACTACAATCTGATGGGGCCACCGTTGTATATGTGGTACCTGAAACTGGGAATTTATAAAGGAAAGAGGTTTAATGGACTCATAGTTTCACATGGCTGAGGAGGTCTCACAAAGGCATGGTGGAAGGCACAGGAGAAACAAAAGCTCTTTTACATGGTGGCAGGCAAGCAAGCAAGCTTGTGCAGGGAAACTCCCATTTATACAACCATCAAAACTCAAGAGACTTACTCGCTACCACAGGAACAGTATGGGGGAGCCACCCCCAGGATTCAAGGATCTCCACCTGGCCCTGCCCTTGACATGTGGAGATTATTACAGTTCAAGGTGAGATTTGGGTGGCGACACAGCCAAACCATATCACCGTGTCTTCAAAAAAAGAAAGAAAAGAAACTATATTCAGAACCTGACCACTGCTCACCACAGTGCACAAGCCATGTTCCTCTGGAAGCTGAGTCTGAGATGGAGCTGAGTGAGCAGGGAGTGGTCCCTTGTTGACTGAAACATTGTAATGTGGCACATAACTGTATTTCATTTAATTTGAAGAACATCAAATTAATTAAAGACAGAAAATGTGAATACATACGTTCAGTGATTGTCCAGTGGTTGTTAATTCTTAGAGACATAGAGAATCCAAGTAGTCTTACAAAGGAACAAAGCTAGGCCATCAGCACATCCACCAGGTAATGTCTCCAGCAGTATTTTTTTCTTCAAGGCCCATGGGGCAATAATAGACTCCCATGAGAAGTTGAAAATAGGCAAAGATGCTTACCTATATCATGCTCCCCAGTGATCATTCCAAGGCAACACTGAAGTCATCAAAATGACATGACACCGTCTTGTACAGATAGTTTCACAGTAGAGAGGGAGCTTGCTGTAGAGAATAGGAGTTATAGATGAATCTTGAGGGGGTGCTCCCCAGGAGTGTGGAGTCAGTGGAAAGCTTGGGGAATGTGTGCTAGGGGGTGGGGGAAGATGAGAGAGGGCTGGGAAGTGAAGATGAGATGCCTAGGAGGAGCAGTTGTTGTGAGTCTGCCTCCTGTGAAAATTACATCTTTTTTTTTTTTTTTTTTTTTTTATAAGAAAAAGAATAAAGAAGAGGAAGAAAGAGGAAGAGGGAGAGAGAATGGGGGTATTGCTTTATTGCCCGGGCTAGAATGCAATCTAAATATGGGTATGCCTATAATTGTCCTTAATAATGGAGATATGAAAGAAAATGAGGGAAGAGAATAACAAACAAGGAGCCAATGAACATTTCGTTTAAACTTCTAAGTTGATATGACGTGGTACTGATCTACGTATTCCTGTATTGGATGTGTATATATTTAGGATCTTTAGCTCTTCTTGTTGTTGCATTGATCCTTTTATCATTATATAATGTCCTTCTTTGCTTCTTTTGATCTT